TTAAGGCTCATGCCAGATCCTGGCACAGCTATGATTCCTTATTCCGAAAAGAGCAGAAGGGCATGGTGTCCCTATCACTTTTTGCTAGCTGGGTGGAACCAGCAGATCCCAACTCAGTGTCTGACCAGGAAGCTGCTAAAAGAGCCATGGCTTTCCATTTAGATTTCTTTGCTAAACCCATATTCATTGACGGTGATTATCCCAAAGTCGTAAAGTCCCAGATCGCCTCCATGAGTAAAAAGCAAGGCTATCCATCATCAAGGCTTCCAGAATTCACAGAAGAAGAGAAGAAAATGATCAAAGGCACTGCTGATTTCTTTGCTGTGCAATATTATACCACTCGCTTAGTCAAGTACCAGGAGAACGAGAAAGGAGAACCGAGTTTTTTGCAGGATGTGGAGATCGACTTTTTTCCAGATCCATCTTGGAAAAATATAGATTGGGTCTACGTGGTGCCATGGGGAATACGTAAATTACTGAAATATATTAAGGTTAATACATGATTTGTTTGTGTCCATATACACCCAAATATGTGAAGGTGGCAAGAGAGAGAAATGTACATGCAAATATGGACCTGAAAAAGAATGAATTTCAGTAATAGCATATACATTTGTTAGCTTGGGAGGAACAGATTATGATTTTAGTCGATGAGGGGTAATTAGCTGTGAAAGGGCTTTAAAACCAGTGGTCAAAAGATTTGTTGTTAAAGTTGGTTGGGGCTATAGGTGTAGTTTAGATATGTATTTTTGGGCTGTTGTCATGACTGTGATTATTAAAAGGTATTTTAAAGATTGAGATAGCTTTTGTGGGTCTTAGCTATGCTGGATGGTGTCCAGGTAGCTGAAATTAAAATTTCAAGTTACTGGTTTTCAGGACCCCTCCTGTGGGAGATCGAGAAAGCAGCCACTGGCGGGACCAACGGGTTAAGGAGCAGTGACAATCAGCAGATGCTGATGGAGGAAAATATTTCTCTCTTCTCATTAGAATAAGAGTAATTTTACTGTCTTCACAGACATTTGCACAGTTTTGTTTTTCCATTGTTAGTCATAAAAGGTGAGCATGTAGAAAATTAAGTTAATAGGGTCAGCACAATTTGATGAAAACTAGTTTTGGGGTTGTAGCTTAGAGAAGATAGTGGGTATTGCACCTGGTTTTATGAGCTTTTTTTTTTTAAAAAAAAAAAAACATCTGTTTGAAATAGAACTTCTGCTCTCTTGTTCTAGGATACGTATAATAACCCTGTAATTTACATCACCGAGAATGGGTTTCCTCAGCGTGACCCCCCATCTCTCGATGACACTCAGCGCTGGGAGTATTTCAGACAGACGTTTCAGGAGCTGTTCAAAGGTACCATTTGAAATGATGAAAGATCAATTGTGCAAACTTAATACAATTTTCCCATGAGCCGATTTGCATTCCAGCAAAGACTAATGATTTTTGAAAGCTGAAATTCATGTAAATCAGTGAAAGCCATGTAATTAAGAGAAGGGAGAAAAAGTATTTAGGAAAGAGAAGGTGAGGATTTTGGCTTAGCCTCAACCTCCTAAAATCAAATCAAGTAAAAAGAGACCGTCTTCAGCATTTTGTGACTCCTGGGTGAAGGTGACAAGAACAGAAGGAGTGGTGGCTGTTGGGAGAGAACATTAATTATTACAAAAAGATTAGCACTGATCAACTATAGCATGCTAATTTGCATATTTTAATATCCCAGCTATGAAGAAAGGAATTGACAGGATATTTAAAGGACCAAAATTAAGCATTTGTGTAATAAACTTCAAAATGGCACAAGTCTTCTGTCAATGTATATTTCATTTAAGCTGCGACCAAGCAGCACAATTAGAAAAAGTTTTGTCATGTAGAAAATGTGAATTGTGTTTCAAGACAGTATTATTCTGGTGACTGTTTTCTCTCCAGGGAACTCTTTTCTATCTTTAAAAACAAATATGAAGGAATAATCTTTAAGTGGTAACACTTAATTCTAGACCACCGAGCCCCTCTCTCCCCCCACCTCCCACCCTTTAGCTAACTCTTGGAAGATTGTTTGTTGCTTTCTAAACCTAATTCCTCCTCCCTATAAAGAAACCATATTTTAGCAACAAATTCCAATGCAACATGAAAATTTCCTTTTTTTTTCCCCCACGATAGCCACACTTATCTCTTGTCATTTATTATTGAAAGGTTCTGGAATTATTCTTTTCCAGATTATTCAATATTATACTAAAAACAGCTGGAAGGAATTCTGGAAAGTGATGCAAAGTGGTCTCTTTTCAAAACCTGTAGTATTTTGACTGTATCCCTTACTCAGGCCTGGAGTGTATGGGCAGAAAGCAATTGGATTCCTACAATTTGGCCCAAGTGAAAGAATTTTTTTGTATTACACACAAAAGATATTCTTCTGGGTGGGAATTCACCTTCTGATAAGAGAGGGAAATCTTTAGTTTTCTGAAATCCCTCCCCACTTCTGCCTGTAAATGGGTCCTGTTCATATTTAATCCATTGATGTTCCCAGATTTCATCCTAAATGACAGGTAGGCTAGTTGCTACCAAGCCGATTTATGGATGGATACAGGGAGCACAAATGGCTTGCCTAAAATTGTTCTGCGTATTTTTGGGAAAAGACAGAAAAATAGACATGGGCTTTTTTCATTCCCAGCTTGATGCTTTGTTTAGTACTAATCAAATGAGGGGGTTTCACTGCTTCTTAGAATAGTTTCAAATACTTTATGTATGCCCTGCAAGTACAGCCATGCAAGTAGAATAAATTACTGCCCCTTGCCAATAGATAATCGATTGGTTCAGATGCAGGCACATGATATGAGCTGGGCCAATCCCAGTTCTTTCCTAAGATTTAGAACCCAGACCAATCAGTTTGTGTTTTAGACTGTGTTGGGGGATATGTAACTTTGTGGGCCATGGTGGTTTGTTCTACTATGTAAGCATAGGAGCACTGCTCCCAAGCATCGAGGGAAGAGGAGATCAGAAATAGGGGGAACTACTGGATGGCACTTGAGCCTCTGATTCCAGTTTTTCCTGAGATCCGGCTGCATGTATGTCATTGAGAGGAATTACTTTTAGGTATAATAAAGTGCTCTTTCTGCTTAACCTTCTTCTAATCAGATCTCTATCACGTGGGATGAAAAGTTTTAATTGATATGATCATCTCATTTCATTCTTAAAACAATAATGAGTCATTACTCCTGCTTTACAGATGAGGAAACTGAGTTTCAAAGAGGCTAAGTTATTTGCTCAGGATCCCAGAGTTCTGAGTAATATTTTATGGAACAAGGCAGAATGTATGTATGTATGTATTATTATCAGTAATTGTTTTGGTGTTAGACATGATGTGTGAGTTCAGGGCTTTCTGACTCACCTGTTTGTCCCACCACATAGCACCCTTTCCTTACATTTCGTACTCTGGGCTTGCATATATTCTTTGAAAGTTTTTCATGCTGTCTGAAAAAGCCAACAGGTCTATGACCTTGGACAAAGCTCAGACACCCCATATACTACTTCTCATCAGAAGAACAGAGCTGAACTTACTAATCGATTTCCTGAGACTCCTCTGAGGTAGCACTGATGATCTTGGTTGGCAAGAACTTACTAGTAAGAAGCATCCTGTGAGTAATTAAAAATAATAGCAGGCCAAGGAAGACATTTGTGGGAAGCTCTGCAGGTGAGAGCCCACCAAAACCCAGGTAGTCAGATGGATGATGGCTTTGTGATTACCATGAACAAAGCCTTCCTCCAACATCATGCATACTGACAGGCACATAATGACACTATTGTTGGATCAATGGTGTCTGCCTGGAGGTCTTACTGATCTCTTCAGGTGAAATCCCACAGCAATTAATAGAGCAGTAAAAAGTAAGCTAATGTTTCTGTTTCCTTTTGGGAAAGAAGAAAAAAAAAAGAGAGAGAGAGGGAAAAAGTCATTTTAAGAAGAAAGAAATTAGTACATTTTTAATTGTTGCATTGTTTAATTGTATTTAAGTAACTTTAAATAGATTATATTTTAATTAATGTGGATACAAATAAGAGTAAAGCAACACCAAAAACTTAAAATAACATAAACCTAGGCTTGCATTCCAGCTGTGCAAATTGTTTAATGAGAGGATTTTGGCAAATTGTTCGATCTATCCAACCCTTGGTTTGTATACCTATAAAATGGGGATAACACTTTCCTTGTCAAGGTCATTACAAAGATTTCATTTAACGAGTTATTGCATAAAAATCCACTAGCAATTCCCTGGCACATAGTAGGTCCATAAACAATGATAATTAATAATTATTACAAAATGTGCACCCTTAAAAATATACTTAAAACCTTTGAGTTATTTTCTTTGTTATTTAAAAAAATGCTATTCCAAGACTTATTTTCTATTCTTTGTTCCCCCCTAAGTTATAGTAGAACATTTGCCCACGTCTGCATGCTTCTCTGTCATTCTTTTTAAGGGACCTTTGGATGTGTGTTGTTAACACTGGCTATTTCCAGTCTGGATTGTGTGGAGGAGAAAGCAGCAACTCCATTCATTACTTCCATCTGAGAGGTTACCAGATTAGGTGAAAAGTCAAATCATTGACAGCAGAAACAACTGTCAAGCAACCGGGAATTGCTCTGCCACATGAATTTTTGTGTCAACTTGGCATTCAGTGATCTTCAAATAGTTAAGCTTTCCTCACATCACATGAATCTTTATTACATTCATAAAATTTACACCTGTCCTTGATCCTCCAGAGCCAGTGGGAAAGTTTGAGATCATACCGAAATGCACATAAAGGAATTCCTTTATAAATGTTTCTGTGGAGGTGAGGGAGGGTGTGGAGCCATGGCAGGCTGCTGCCAGTAGGCGGCGCTCCATTCACGGTCTCAATTCTCCCAACAGACGATTTGCTCCCGTATGCGCCCTGTTCCTCCCACAGCCAGCATGTGTCTGCCTTTACCTTGGCTCATGACCTTTCCCCCACCTGGAAGGTCATGCTTTCTGCTCTTTTCCTTCTCCCTGGCCCAACCTGTTGTTTGGAGTAGATGAACGTGCTTGAAATTAGACAAGATATGAGTTTGACACCTGGTTCTGCCACTTACGAGCTCAATAACTTTGGGAAAATTTTTAAGCAGGCAATGGTTCTGTCATCTATTTTCTAAAATGGGGATAATAAAAACATCTGTCTTCTAAAGGGTGATGAAGAATGAATAAGATAACACTTATAATGCCTAAACAGAGCCTGGCACATTACTGACGATTCTGTAAATGACAGCTAATTTTTTTTTTGGGGGGGGGGGGGGGCTGTGAATTCCATGAGG